TTTTTTTTATTTAATTATGAACTAGCGGTTTTCCCGCGGCTTCGCCCGTGTCTAAGGAACCGTTTGTTGAAATAAACAGTAGCTTTATGTTAAAGTAGGCTTAGAATTACATATGCATATACCAATTATTAAAATACATTCATTAGTTTTGCGCCATAGAGTAACAAAGCATTTTTGAATTAGAGTCAGTAGTATTGCAGTCTATGCAATGCAAAGAAACGAACAATAATTATAGGTAATATCAATATATATAAATATAAAAAGAAAATATTTACTTACGATCTATTCTGATTTAATATACAGTCTGAAGAGGCAGGGCAGAGTCGTTCTGTAAATGAATGGTATAGTCAATTTAGCTAATTTCCAAGCCTGATCACCATTCATTGAAAAAAAATCCGTACCTAACGTTACCTAATTAGCAATATTTTCTGTTAGTATCGACTGATTAAAAAATACAGATATAGATTATAAATGACTGGTATAACAATGAAGAAAATAATGATTGTCACAAACCGAATCTTTGAGAATTTCCAGAGAACTTCCTCTTATATTTTTTACGTTCACAATTCTTGAAATATTCGCCCTTTTCCTAAAAAAAACCTTAACATAAAGTCATCATCCATTAATTAAGTAAATCGATTAATCGATTTCTGTAAGTTTGTAACCATTACCCCTGCCTCCCTTTTTGAAAACTATTACGTAAGAAGAATGTAAAAGAAATCCGATTTCTTAATTCATTTCTTTAAAGTTTGTTGTGTTTAATCACCGCAAATTACTAATGCGCCTGGCTCTCATTTCGATAACGTAATAAAGATGACTACTAGGTAAAAAAAGAAATTCTATTATGTCCGTTAGTCAGAAATAGAATAAATATTAGATACGTATTTTTTTTACTTCCATTTAACAAGATTTTTGGGCATTTTACAAGCTACCGCAAGCCAATAGGGACTAAATCCACTATGAACATTGCGGTTATAGTGCCTATAGTACTATTAGTATATTCCTCCCAACTCCAATAATGAAAATGTCTAATATTGAAGTTGATATGTCATGCGATGCGGCTAACCCCTGGCGCTCTTAGGTACCCGGTGGTGCTGTGAGTGTGAAATTAGCGACCGAAGACTGCACAGGAGTAATTAACCAGGCTACTGTGTCGATAAATGTTATTGGAAACAAAAAAATGATTCAACAGGCCTTCCATCCGGGTCTGTTTATTAGCAGATCGAGAAGCTTTTCCACAGGAAACCTGCCTAAAGATAACTCAACACCTGGCTCTCCGAACTTGTTACTGTGTTTAGACTCAAACCGGATTAGCAGAAAGCTCCAACAATAAAAACCAAGAAATGCAAAAGAATTTCAGACTCAACACCACAACCTGTGATTAACACGAGCAACCGTTACTCAATCCTACCTACTAATTCTTCAGGGGACTCTGAGAAGCAGATCAAACCAAGCAGACCACCACCCCTCATGCCATTTGGAATTGAAGATGTGAATAAGCTAACGGAAACTAAAGAAGTTGTACTAACAAAAACAGAATATACCCTCAAACTTATCACAAGAAACTACCCTTCAGATATGCATATAAAAAACTAATGAACATCGTGAGAGAAATGGGGCTTATGGCCCGATGTATGAAATGCGCTGCACAACATAAACCATTGACTGCATAAAAAAGATAGAAGTACGCCTGCCAAATGTACTTTGTGTTTAGGAGAACACCCAGCAAATACAAAGGCTGTAAAGTATATTTGGAAATTCTTAGTAGAAAAAATAAAAGTCACGGATTACCTAGAAAGCAAGCATTAAATCATACAACAGATGAGGAAGTCGTTCCCGGATTACAGTTGATAACAATTGGAACCAGAACAATTAAAAATACTCGAGAAGTTATTAATAAAAATAATTTTAGCACTATGAAACCAACTAAGAACAGAACAGAATATAAATCTATGGAGAAGAATCCTGAACAAAAGAGAAGTTACTCTGAAGTAACTTATCCCCGAACAGCACAGCGCCAATTTGGATAGGAAGACAATAGAGCAAATCCAAACAAGCCAAACCTTAGAAAAGGCAACGCCAACGCACTTGCTACACAAACAACAAACCACACCAGATGACTAATGTCAGGACTTAATAACAAAACAAATGGAAAAAATGGATATACTATTCAATCAAACGAGCATTGTAACTCTTGTAGAAAAACTGACAAAATAACCTATCATGCGCTCAATATTGCTACGTGGAATATTATAGGACTTACTCCAAATCTACGAGTAGTCAATATGCTATTAGATACCCATAAACTTGACATTCTCATTTCTGAAATGCATTTTACTAACCAAAGCTTGGTAAACATTAAAAACTTTACTGTCTATAACTCTAATCACTCAGATGGCTCATGGTGGAGCTGCTGTTATTGTAAGATTTGCAATCAAACATCACGAACTAGCTCTATATCAAACTGAACACCTACAAGCCACAACAATAGCAGTGCAAGGAAAAACGGCTACTTTTAACGTATCAGCAGTATATTGTTCGCCAAAACATAATATCAAACAATACTATATTTCTCATTACTGTAGGTTTATTGCCTTAGGAGACTGGAATTCCAAACATCCCCATTGGGGTTCGAGGATAACTCATTACGCTCTCTACTTCAGAACCAACGCGCTGACCATCAGAAACAAATTAACTGCTAGACATAATACATTTCTATATTTGCAATGTTGCAATACGCCTCTAAAACGGATGCATACTTGGACGGACCCTCAATGCACACATTAGTCCTCCTTACACTGAGCACTACGTTGCTAGAATATGAGATAATCCCTAAGTTATACAACAATAATACCGATTGGGACTCTTTTCGAGTGATCATAGATAGAAGACTGGAACTGAAAATTTCACTTTAACCCCAGATGACAGCGACGCGGCCGCAACCAAACATAAAAATCTGATACAAGTTGCCTGCTGGTTAACAACCTCAGACAAACAAAATAAGTATCCAAAACACAACAGTGATCCATCAGCTATTCGATTGAAAATCCAGCACAAAAGGAGACTTCGTGGAGTTTCGCACTGCAGCAGACTTGAGGTAGACAAAAAGCTTAAAACAAAGTCAAAGTGGAACTCAGAGACCTAACTAAGGACATCGAAAATAAAAATACTACTCTACCCAAGCGAACCCAACCACCTCTCAAATTACAAAATTATAAAACAAGAGCAGCTCAGGAAAGAATAGATGATTTTGCCAATTACCTATCTAATGTTTTCAAACCGAACGAAGGGACATGAATGAATAAAATGAGCACAAGCAGTGAAAATCCATAAATTGAAGCTACATTAAGCCAAGATCTACTACAGATGGGCCTGTCTTTAAAAACAACAAACCCTAAATAAGTTTTAAAGTATCTCTTAAAACTGGATAATAAAATAGCACTTGTTTTTGATGAAATATGTAAGGAAGTCTTAGCCCAACTGCCAAGAAAAGGTTTATTGTACCTATCGACACTTTTTAATGGCATCATGAGAACTGGCCACTATCCTGGTATTTGGAAGGTTCTGAAATTATAATGATATAAGAGGAAGGCAAACCCATTAATTAATGAAATGAACTCTTATATACCTATCAGCCTGCTACCGGTTATCTCAAAGGTTTTTTAAAAGATACTTTTGGTACGTATGCTAAACGCCCCATCTGAAAGATCGGTCATTCCTGAGCATCAGTTTGGATTCCGACATGAACACGGAACAGTGGAACAAGTACACCGAGTGGTTGATCAAATGAGAAAGTCTCTGCAATTTAAAGAATACTGTTCATCTGCGTTCCTCGACATAGAACAAGCTTTTGACAGAGTCTGGCACAAGGGTTAACTCTGCAAAATCAAAAGATCGCTGCCACATACCTTCTTCGGTATAGTAAAATCATATCCTTCAGAGAGAATAATTCACGTAAGAGACGGGGAATACTCATCTAATTTCTATAAAATACTTCCAGAGACCACTGGAGTATTAAGTGCCACATTTGCAGATTTCACTGCCATTCTTGCTAGCAGCAAGAATCTAGCTAGAAGCAAACCAGCTTCTGCAGCAGGAGCTGGACAAAAAAGAAAAATGGTTAAGAAATGGAAAATCAAAACTTCTTCGAAATCTAGCTAGGCTTCTATATATTGAAAAATGTATTTTTTTAATACCTATTGAGCTCAGACTATGGGGAATCACGAAAAAAAATATCACCCCATTTTACATGTAGAGTGATGTGGTTATTTTTTCGAAATTTTACTTTATCACTTTGTCGGCCTAATTAACGTGTACACTTAAAACAAATTACGACACTAGTGCCAATAGTTTTCGAGATAAACCGAGGACGGATGGACGGACAGACGGTAATGGTGAATTTATAATTGTTCCTTCTTTACAACGGAACCCTGAAATATGAATCTAATATTTTCTTTTATCTGGCTGACGGACTAAATAGAATTCCTCTCTTTTTATCCGTCATCATCTTTATTGTAACAAAATTTTGTATTAAAAATGTAATTATTACAGTATAATAAAACAACTTCATTAAACAATTACACACCGGATTTTGATGTAAAGTAAGGTAAGGTTGAGTATCAGTTGGGCAAATTTAGAAGTTTAGAAAAGCCTGATGTGATGTTTATTGTACCTTCACATAAATACCTACATTTCATTTAAAAATGTCAACTCGATATATTAAGTACTATATCTTATCGTGTCTTGTCCATATATTATATCATATCTCAAAATCTTCATGCCGGATGAATTGCGGGTTGTAAACAGAAAGATCTTTAATCTCGCTTTAAAAATAAGATAAATCATAATATTATTTATTAAGTAATACATTTTGAAAAAGCAAGTTACTTTTTTTTGCTTTAATTGAGATTAGGGAATGTAATACCACTTAGATAACCATAACAAATCTTTTCAATATTATTAACATTCAATTAAATATTAAAAATATAAAAACTTTTTAATCAAAGTTTCCTCACCTTTATATGATTGGAAGCTTTCAAAGGTTTATTTTTGGCCCTCCATTCTTCAAGAGCACGCTGTTGACATGCTTTTAAATATAAATAAGTCGAATACCAATTTATATGTGACGTCACATCAGCGCGTGTGAAACCAGGAACTTTATTAAGGAAGTCATCAGCAAGTTGATCAAATTGCGAACCGTTTGAGCTTGTAGAATCGTTTGTGTTTTCTATATCAATTTTTATATATTTTTGCCAAATCTTGATGAATATATTATGATGGTATTCATTCCATCCTCCGCATTTGGCAGTGGCACATAAGAAATCTTGAAATTTTTGAACGTCCTGCAAGTATAAATAAATAAAAAAAATAACAGAAACAATTTTATATTAAACCAAAAAATAACAAATAAAATCTAAAAAAATATAGTATATAATGCATGAAGCGGCGTCATGCGGAATTGACGATCGGTAAGTATTTTGCGTAAGGAATATGATCTATTTTTTACACCTATGCATGACAACACCTACAAGCGCGCTGCAGGCTTCACGGCAAACTTAATCGTGTATGGCAGCCACAAGTTTTACTATTCTGTAAAAATACAGCGTCGAACACAGCACTGTCACAGCATTAATGTTTCAATCATATAAAACCTTTATTACCTTTTTAAGTAGGCTTCATTTGATTAAACCTCTATTGTGACAGCGCTGCGCTGAACAATGTATTTTAACAAAATAAGTTTGCAGGTGTCCGGTTCCCGGGTGACCCCTCTAATTAAGCTACCCGAGGTCACAGTAAAACGTTGCTAATAAAAATGTCATCGGTGTTTAGAACGAACGAATAGAACGGCTAAAAATATTTTCAGAAATATTTTAAACTATGTTAAGATAAAAATTTGTTTTCAATATATAATATTAAAATAATATAAATCCTCTCTGCCTACCCAGCAAGGGATATGGCATGAAGATAATTATATGTAGATGATGATACATAGATCTAATATAGAAATATCGTAAAACCAAAAATGGAATCTAAAATACATAAAGAAAATATAAACACCCACTGGACACTTTAAAGGCGAGCTGATTAAATTTTTAACCGGGCTAGGTATTATATCACTGTATGTCTTCTTCGATACCTTCTTATTTTTATTTATTTTACTACTTTGATTTTTGGATTCTACAATCTGAAACAAAAACTTTTTTATTGGTATTTGTGCAATTACACTGTTATTCAAAAGTATTCCTGACCGTTCCGCTACTTTCGTAAAACGGGGCACGTTCTTAAAAAACCGGCCAAGGGCGAATCGCACTCACGCAGGAAGAATTCCGTACCATTATCGTAAAAAAAGTAGCTCGGTGACGTAGAAGATAAGCGCTGCGGCCCACGATCGTTGTTGTTAAGGAACTTTCGCAAGGGTCGGTCACGGGATAGGTGACCAAAAAATTATTATCTCGAGCTACTTCGTGCTTCGGAAGGCACGTTAAACCGTTAGTCCCGGCTGCATTTGCAGTCGTTAATACCCTCCAATCCGCATTGGGAAAGCGTGGAGGGTCATGGCCCATCCTCCTTAACCATCCATAAGGAAGGCCTGAGCCCCTGGAATGGGGACGTAAAAGGGCTGATGCCATCCCTCCTCATATATGTATTAAATTCTGTTTTTTAGTATTTGTTGTTATAGCGGCAACAGAAATACATAATGTGTGAAAATTTATCTATCTATCACTGTTCATAAGATACATAATTTACCCCTTAACGCAATGACATTTGCCTCACCCTAGATCCAGAACAGCCAATATCGTCTGAGAAGACCCTATCACCTGCTATCTCTGCCACCTATTTGGAAGGCTGAGTGCTAAGACCCAATGAGACTGTTTGTCTTCAGCGTCTGTTGTTAATCAAGTGGAATTAAAAGGATGAAATAAAAAAGAAAATTATTTTATATTATTACCTTTTTAGTAATATTTTGTTCTTGCTGCTTTAAGAAGTTTTGTTCACTTTGAAGAAATATTTTAAAAGATTTTATCTTTTCGTCTAGTTCCAGTATATCTTTTTTGAGGTCATTTAAATCTGAATAAAAAATGAAAAGATATTATAAAAAATTAAATCAATAGCGAATAATTTCAGTCCCGTGCTTTGGGGCTTTGGGGAATGGCCCATTTCTATTTAATATTTCGATTCCATTCAAGCTAATATGAAGATGTATAAATTTATTTAGATAAATTACTTACCTAAAGACTTCAATGTTTCTTGCGTCTCAGTAGCGATTTTAACGTCTGTAAGTAAGTTTTTAATTGTCATATACGAATTATTCGTATGATTTACAAAATCTTTAAATTCCAAGCATAATTTGTAAAATGTATTTTGGCCGCTATCATTATATAAATCTTTTTTAATATTTTGTAAGAGGAGCTCCTCCTGTATTTTCAATCTCCTTAATATTGCTGTTAAATTGTTAGACTTTTGGTCTGATGTTATTGAAGTTTTCGTCTTTATAGAACAAGTAGTAGAATCCATTATACGTAATATGCCAGAAACAGTGAAAATATTATTAAGTACTCACATTAAACTATTGATCAAACAAGTTTTCTTGGTTTATTGATCAAACTTAATTTTCCGCTCTTTCGTGTACCGTGCACTTCCGTTTCCTTATGCTATAGTTATTACATAGAGTAAGGTAGAGTGGAAATATTTTCTATGGTTATATAAATATCATGCAATCTGAAGTTGACATCAAAAACATCATGTTGTCTTTTTTTAACTAATAAGAAGTTTCTTTAGTAAACAAAGATAAAACTAGTGTGACAGTTCAAAATTTTTTACGTGACGTCATGAGATATAGCTATCGTACCACCTGTCAGCCATTTGCAAATTTGCTGTGCGTATTTCGGTCCGTAAATAATATTGTTTACATGGCTAGTGCTGTTACTTTAACATATGGTTTATATCGATAATTTTAATATTTAAAAATATATTAATTATTTTAGATTACCAAAAGATGAAACAAAAGAGGAAAATGGCCGAGTTACATAGAAGCAGAAAATATTAAATGTAATGAAAAAGTTACTTTTATCTGTCCACTTCATTTTAGGGAAAGTTGTTTGAATCGAACTTTAAATATAATAAAATTACGAGATAATGCATTGCCAATCAAATACTCTGGTAAGAATTTTTGACAATTGCTTTTAACTTATTTTTAAAAAAAATGTCTATTACACTTAGTTGATTTTCATTTGATTTTACTGATTTATTTATTTAGTTTTTTATATAGTCATTTTGTTATTCTATAAATGTACCTTATTTTTAGTCTTGGGGTCATATGACGACTATTTTAATTGAAAAAAATCAGAATGCAATATATAATAATATTAAAATATAAAATTCTAATCATAATATACTCCCAGTAACATATACAATAAAATGAGTTAAATAATTTTAATAAAAATTAAAATATGCACACTTATCAAATTAAAGGCATAGTTAAAGGTTTTCTTTGCTGTTCAACAGTATAATCTTAATACCCAAATAATTATTTTGCGGCGTGGATATTTATTTTGCTGATGCATTATAAAATACGCTACCTTTTTTAAATTTAAATTGCTGACCGTTATCATGATTGTTCACAGAACATGAATTGCAGACTGTTTTAGTGCTGAGAAAATATTTGTATGCTTGCCTATTGATTAATCGGCTGTTTTCTTCTTGCTAACCAAATTTTTAAATAAAATGCCAATTGTTACTTCTTTAATAATGTTACTGTTATGCCAATTGTTACTTATTCATCACCAACTTTGTTTTCTTTATTTTCTCTTGTTTATTCATCAAAGTTTACAGTATTTTTATGTTCTTTTACCAATAATATAATACAAAGATTATGTAGGTGTTTCAAGTTTTCTATGTTTACTACCAAACAAAATGTACTGAACTAAAATTGTGACACAGTACACACGGTATCTCACTTAATGAGGAGGAAGCGAAATTTATTCAGTCAAAACAATTTATTGAATAAATTTATAGACAAGTTGGCTTACTAGTTACAAGCATATAAGAAAGTCGAAACTCTGTGCTAATAGTTCAGCAATCTATTACGGGAAACCTTGTACCGAGAAAAGAAGAAACTGTAAGAAAGGAACCGGTAAGAAACTGCAAGGGCTGCTTTTGTACCCTGTTTAATTTCGTACTGAAAAATAAAAAATGACTTCATTGGACCAAAATGTCACTTTCCACCAAAACAATAAAAAATATATAACAGACAAAAAAAAGCATAATAATTCATTCGTCAATCGACTCATTAAAAGCTTATTATAGTTACCGTGGTAGTTATCTTGGACAGTAGTCACACTTCCCGTGGATGCAAAATTAAACTTATGTTAAAAAAACTATTTAATTATAATTGCAAAATGTCAACTTGACAATATATATGGAAATAATTATAAAACACGATTGATATTATTGTAAAACTTTTAAGATATATATTTTGGTACTATAGTTCTTAAAACTATGTAAAATTGGCTATATTAGAGGAAAAAGAAACATATTTATCGAGGTACAATCATATTATAAAATTATATTATTAAATAATATAAATGTGAAAGTTTGTGAGGATGGATGTTGATTACTCTCATGTAAAAACTACTGAACGGATTTTGATGAAATTTGGAATACGAATAATCTTTTACCCGTGGGAAGCGCCATCATACGCTGGTAACATATGTTATATTTACTATAGTGACGCAACGGAGTCGCAAGAACAAAGAACGCAAGAAATTTTAGATGTCCAACAAAATACGAGCAAAAGATTGCTTAATGATTTATAAATAATTGATAAATTCACGCCACTTTTAAAAAAATATTATTTTCTTAATACTGGCGTGAATTTTTCAATTTAATTAATAATAATCATAAATAGGATTGGTACGTAAGTGTAAAATGAATAGAAGTGTAATAGGTAATAGTTTAGCCATGCCGCTAACAATGAAAATTATATTATATTATTTAATAAGTAGTAGTATTGTAGCAGTTTCACGAAATACTAACTTTTATTTAATATGACTTCAATGTCGATACAAATATCGATATCTTGGGTCACGCCCTATGACAATCCGCCATCGAAGAATTTGCATTTGAAGTTTAGGCATATACGCTTTTTTCGTAGGTATGGCCGGTCCTCTTCTTTTATGTCTATGGATTGACCAAAGAGTACAGTAACAGTAATAATACGGAAAAAGAGTGCCCTCTCACGTGTATTTAGCGACAATCAGGATAGAAGTGACATCTGCATTACTTCCCCAAAAACTATTGCTATATAGGTATACCTATAGTAGGTAGGTATTATAGTTATAGAATTCTTTCTTCGCGCCACTCGAAAAATACAAACTGTAAAAACCGTAGTAAATTTTTTAAAAGAAAATCGAGCAGTAAAACTTTTAAAAGAAAGTTGTGCAGTATGCTCAATTTTCTTTTAAAAAATTTACTACGGTTTTTACAGTTTGTATTTTTCGAGCGACAATAGCAAAAAGAGGACAAAAACTTGAAAAAGAAACGACATTGTTCATTTATTATAAGTTGTTTATTTCTATAAGTTAAACAAATGCATACAGCACATGATCAGCACAGTCATTCATAAAAAATACAAGTATACATTTTATTATTTTCTAATACTTTCTGATTGACCAAAGATACATTTAGGGATGGGTAAATGCGACAAAAATATCGTTATATATCATATCGATACTTTTCAAATGTATCGATATGATATACAGCGTGTTTGGTAATACCTGTATAATCCCGAAACATGGCCATACAACCTAGCATAAAGAACACAATTGATAGGTCAAAAAACAATTTCATGTAAATTGATATTTTCATACAAATATTTGAACAATTTGTTTTCAATTACTATGCTACAACCCTGTAAGCTTACACGTGCCGTCCCGGCGCACTCGCTCTTTCTCTCTCTCTCTATCTCATTACCTCTCACTCTCTCGTTTCCTTGAATACATTTTGATGTTGTCGACGCGCGCACTCGACTACGTATGAGTTTACTTGTAATTAAAACAATTTAAGTTTAAATAGGTACATACCTACAGCGTTCTAATCACTCTTTCAGCTTTCACTTATCAACATTACCTACACTTCACCTCCACTTTATCAGTCCAGGGTTCGATATGCCGGCCACCGCATAAAACACACATCTCCATTCGACACGACACAGACCGTGTCGTGTTACTCTCGACGTAAAGTCATATCCTCTGTCTCGATGGAATAGGTGATCGGCCGGCCTACCTGTGGCACACTATGAAATGAACCAGTTGTATGTAACCAATTCACAAATGCCGCGAATCACCGGTAAGAAGGAAGACGTCGATGGTTTTCAGATCTTCCTGACACGTGGCGCTCGTCATAACGCCGCCGAGCCGCAGCAAGATTACCGTCACAAGCACCGCCACTCATTATCATCTCGTAATATTAGGCATTTGAGTACGAATTCATTGCACTGACCGCACACAAACATAATACACAGGTAAACAGAATGAGAATGAAAAACAAACCAAAATTCCCGAAAGAACGAAAACGTAAGTTGACCTTCTAAATTCTGAAAACTCACAAGTACGCCGATGAAAGTCACGGACGCGACTGACGCGATGACCAAAATTACATAGGTTATTATTATTGCAACTCGAACACCAATGTACCTAAATCAAAAGTATACCGATTTTGGGGTTCCGCGTCATCAAATTCTGTGTTACGTAACCTACCTAACAATAAATCGTTATTTTTTTATTGAATTAAACAATGAAATTTCAAAGTAACTTATCATACTATTTTTTACTGACGAAATTGATAATTAGGCTGTTTACTTATTATTACAATTTTATTTACGCTTTTCACGGTTACAAAAGAAAAAAAGGCCATAATATTAAAAGTGGTTACCTAATTTAAGACCAAGTCATTAACAAATTATAAGGCATAAAAAAATTATTGATTAAATTAGAAAAGAAAAAAAAATATTATTTATTATTAGACCTTTCCATTACAATTAACCTTTATTTAATTATCATTTAAACTAAGAATAAGCGAGATACTTAGATTATTAATATCATTGTATAAGTCCGTATTTTATTGTTTCGTGAAAATAACACGGCTTTATAAAAAAAATAACAAAAAAAAAATTGTCAAAATCTTCCAAATATTAAAGCAAATAAACAACTGACTGTTTTGTTATTTAAAATAGGTACATAAAGCCAAGAAAACAACATCATCAACACAACAAAAATTACATTATTCAAACAAATCAGTATTTGTCTGATATTAACATCAGGAGCATTCTCAATGATACCAACCAAACCAACAAGCAGTGTCATTGTCATAAAGAAACATATCAAAAGACAAGCAGGTCATAGACTGTAATTTCTAAACTCATACATTATTTTTATTTATTTCATTTAAGAAATACATGATGCGACGTATGAGCAGACAGCAGAACTTTAAAAAATATATCGATTAAGATATGAATTTGATATCTGAAAATAAATAGCGAAAGCAAAAAAAAAAACAAATTGAAAATAAATATCACGGGAAAAAATATCACTTATTTATATCGACATTTTTCAGAAAAAATGTATCGATTGTTTTTGCGCAATCCTAGATACATGACATTTTAAAAATCTATAGCTCTATGGATATATTGTTCTTTATCTATGGAGCATATACAAATAGTTAAAATAATTTAAAAATATTAAAATTATTAGATATTCGCAATGTTTACACGTTCAAGATCGTTATTAACTAAAACTCTTCCGTTACGAGTTGGTTTCAGTTGTGATTGTTGTATTATCCATTAGTGTGTATGAGTATGATAACATAACCTTTTAATTTCGTTTTCAGTATTTTCTAAAGCCGGATTTGCAAAATGAAACTCGTTTTGTATATAATATCGCCTTAACTAGATACCGATCTACTACTCCTCTCAATACTATTGTAATGTTTGTTCCCCAACAAGAGGTATCATTCTTTTAATTACATTTACTTTCATAATAATAACTGATTATTGCACAATTTTCTATATATTGGTGTATTGGACATCTAATTATTTTTAAATATAATTTAATTAAAAATCTTGAAATTTTTAAGGCCTGGGTAGTCGAACGCATGGGTAAATTCCACAGAATACTGGAGCCAGGATTGAACTTGCTGTGGCCAATTGTGGATAAAATTAAATATGTTCAGAGTTTAAAAGAAATAGCAATTGATGTACCAAAACAAAGCGCAATCACATCAGATAATGTAACATTAAGTATTGATGGAGTGTTATACCTTCGTATTATTGATCCATATTTGGGTAAGTAAACCTGATTGAAATTTATTTTATACTATTCAATTCAAATATAACATTTATCATAGTTTATGTCAATGTCAGAAACTATGAACACAAACCTTAAGTTATAGAATTTGAAACTACAACAAAAATAAAGGCTTGATATTTCAGTATGTTAAGTACTTAGGGTAAAGATCACTCAGTATTCGGTAGGTCAGGTGCTGCAACACCTGGTGGTGGCAACACAAAACAAACTTCTAGTGATTGCTGAATATGTTTGTTTCATTAAATGAAAGTATCAGATTTTTTAAGAACTAGCAATTTAGTAATAAACTAATTTTTGTGAATTGCTAATCATTACAGGACTCAAACCAACTTCTGAGATTGGCTGAGTTTTAAAATTGTATTATCTGAGCAGTTTAGTGTACTTTTTTATATTAAGAATGCAATAATTATTTATTTTTAACTATTAAAAATCATCTTTAATATGTGTTATGATTTGTTATTTGCCCCTGTTCTCCACACTGGGTAATGAGTGATATAGGTACACCATTAGTACTGCATCATACTGAAATACTAAGCTTTAGAGAGCAATTGCAAATTTTGGTCACAACCTCTGAAACTATATTGTATTATATGTAAATATGAAATTGACTGTTTTGCATAACTCAGCTCATGATTGGTAAGCTTGCCATGACCTTGTGGTGTAGCCCATAACTGCATTATCTTATGCATTTACATATATTAATCTTCATCTACCTACATAAATATTGAAACCTATATATGACCTACTCTGCCACAGAGGTTGTCAGTTGTAAAGTATTTAATTTAAAAAAATATTTATTTACCACACTAAAAAGCTTTGCAACACAATTTTAATAACTTTACTCTTTTTTTCAACATCTTTTCCACAAAAATAATTGGTAATTATTATAATATGTCTGACTGACCAAAGATTCTAAGTGCTGAAAACTTTTGCATTGTTTTGCAGGACTATATTGTAACTGAGACTTTCAATTAAGAGCTTATTTTAAGTAAGATCTATCTCACTTAGAATAAGCTTTTACTTGCAGGTGTTAGTTACTGAGTATTGCACTATCCCCTATGATATATGATTTACAATATGTAAATATGTTAGAAAAAAAAGACAACCTTCTTCTATGTTGATCAATGGATTAGGACTGTAGATAATGGTTAGATATGTTTTGTGTATGAAAGATTAATAAGTACAAGGATCCATAACCATAATGCTGTTTATTTTATATTTTAAGCTTCCTATGGAGTTGAAGATCCTGAGTTTGCCATCACACAACTAGCACAAACAACAATGAGATCAGAACTTGGTCAAATATCATTAGATAAAGTGTTTAGGGAGAGAGAATCTTTAAATGTTTCCATAGTCCACGCTATAAACAAAGCTAGTGAAGCTTGGGGAATTACATGTCTCAGATATGAAATACGTAAGTTATTAGTATAGTAAGTGGGCAATTGTAGAAAAGATTTTTGAAATAAATAATGGTGGTAATGCTGTTGCCACATAGTAGACTTCATTGAGTTTTGATTCTGTCAAACTGTATTTTCAATTCTTTATACAGCATAACAAATAGCAAATATATATATATACATTATCATCATCATCGGGCCTTTTACGTTTCAACTGCAGGGGCTCAGGCCTTCCTTACGCTAAGCAGGCCCAATGTGGATTGGAGGGTATTAAAGACAGCAAATACAGTCGGGCTCGAGACCGACGGCTTGACGTGCCATCTGTAGCACGGAGTAGTTGAAATAAAAATTGGTTGATCAGCCATCCCGTGACCAACTCTTGCGAACTTGCGAAAGTTCCTTAACAACATCGATAGCGGGCCGCGGCGCTTATCCACTTTCTTAAATAACAAAAGAAAAGCTTTTAGTGACTGACTGAAACCGAAACTTAAAACGAAATTCGGCAACGGTCTCATTTTCGGCCGAAACCGAAACTTCCTTACAAGGATTATATTTTGAGGGAAAAATAAAGAAAACGTTATTTAATCTATACTTAATGCATTTTAAAGAGGATCTTGCGTATTGATAAGTAGAAAATATTAGAATATTAACGTGATTAAAATAACAAGATTATATTTAAAAAGGTGATATAAAGTTACCGTCGCGCGTACACGAAGCAATGCAAATGCAAGTGGAGGCAGAAAGGAGAAAGAGAGCAGCCATTCTAGAGTCAGAGGGAGTCCGGGCTGCAGATATCAATGTCGCCGAGGGAAAACGACAAGCTAGAATACTAGCATCAGGTAATATTATAACGATACTAATTTAAAATTAAAACTTGATTCTAAATCACAGAGATACAGACTTGGAATGCGTAAATTATAGCCTATGTTACCCGCGTATGAGGTAACTACCCATGGGTGAAAAAAAATTTAAAAACCATAGTAGTAGTTTTGGAGTCTATCCTATACAAAGAGTACACAATCAAATTTTTCCTCTTTACAATGACCATAATAAAACTCATATTTACTTTTGTGGATGTAAATCTATATATATTTTCACACTATCCATTGCATCTTTCGCCACCAATCTTTGCATTTTCTGCAATCTTTGTTATTTGTGTGTTTATGTTTATAGCTGTTATAATAAAAGTTGTTACGTTTTATGCAACTATTTTAATCCAAATTAGTGCCATCAAATTTATTTTGTTAAATTTGTAAAAGTTAAGACGGTTCGAATTTTACGAACATATAACGGAAACTGATTTTCACTTATAGGATATAACCCTACTCTTCACTCAATAGTGAGAAAAACAATTTCCTTCTACAGAGGCCGAAAAACAAGAACAGATCAACAAAGCCTCTGGTGAAGCACAAGCGATGCTGGCCGTCGCAGAAGCGCGGGCGCGCGGCCTCAAGCTCGTCGCTAATGCACTTGCCGACAGGGTAATTATATTGGAAAACTAACTTCGAATAATATTCTTAATAATAATACTTAAAAAATCCACTTTCTCCGAGTTACTCTAAGATGGGAATTGATGGGAAGTGGATTTTATTTTCTCGTTAAGAATATGTTGGAGTGTAGTTAGAAGGGGCTTTTACGAAGCCCAAATAGATCGTCCATATCAGACGACTATCTTTAAAATAACACTGCAGGTGTGTATACCAACGTGGATTTGTTTCATTTTATCAGTTTTCATACGAAAATATAACGAGATGAGCGTGATATCGTCGGATGTCTTTACTCTTCGGCGATCGGAAATAGAATGTGTGCCAAATGGCGGCCAGTGCTGCCAACTCTAGAAAATAATTTCTGCTAAATAGGCTTTAAAAAAATGCCAAAAATATGCCAAATATTTTCGAAAATACTTAAAGAATGCTTTTATTAGAGAAACAGAATATTTATTAAAAATCTTTACAAAGAAGCATTTATAAATAAATTGCGAAGACCCTCGTCGGTATCCTGAGCCATTGATGTAGCCGGTAGGTATGGAGCAGATGACGTAGGTGCATAAGCCTCATTACATTAGCCCCTATTTTTCGCAAAATTTGATCAGGGACCTCATCGATTCTCCTCAACAAAAACTCATTTCAAGCGGGATTTAACTAACCAAAGACTACTCTATGACTATAAATCTACGAACACTCTTAGATTGTGTTCAGACATATATAGCATACTTTTTAAGAAAAAATGAAAAATATCTTTTGATATTTTACTCTCAATAAAATGCTAAAAAAATATGCTATATGCTAAACTGAATTTAATTATGCCAAAACACTAGAAAATATGCTAAATTTAGCCATAAAAATGCTAAATTGGCAGCACTGATGGCGGCAACTTGATTTTTATTAACGAACTGTCAAAGTCAGTGTCACCATTCTAATAAAATTAAAATCACGCTCTCTCCCTACAATCGAGTAATTAAGTAATCGAGAAACTAGCAATTAAAATAAAAGAAACTAAATCAAACGATCTTCGTAAAGATGATGCGACAAATATATACTAATATAGTACTGTAAATGAAAAATTGATCAAATATAATAACTTCGAATAAGCTTAAAATATTGAAATGAAAATATATAAAAGTGTTTTATAAATAAACTTTTATTTGTGCGCACTAAAACGTCAAAAATAGTTTTACGCAAGACAAGTTTATAACGTTAATGCTAAAATACTGATAATCAAAATGTTCTTTACCGATTTCATTAGCGCTACGAGCCTTTCGAGTCAATTACTGTTAGTGAGAATTTTCCAGGCCTTGGTCTGGAAAGAATCCAGTATCGTTTGAGTTCCAAGATTACGCACTAACATACTAATAAGACAAATTAAATAAAATCTTCAAATAAATGAGGAGCTCGATGGCGCAGTGGTTAGCGCGCTCGGTCTGTAACTTTGGCAACGGCCGATCATGGGATGGGTGACCAAAATTTGATTATCTCTAGCTCCTCCGTTCTTCGAAAGGCACGCTAAGCCGTTGGTCCCGGCTGCATATGGATACCGGGCCGGCGTGGTGAATCCTATTCAATTTAATTTGATTCAATTCCATAAGGAAAACCTGAGCCCCTAGCAGTGATAACATTAATTTACTGGTGGTAATGATTATTGAAATATAACTGTCCCACTGGGGCACTGTCCCTGGACGCCAGTGGTGGGATTGCCAATAGCAAAATCAATCATAAGCTTCGCAAAAACGTCTTATTAATTTCACACACTTCAGGCTACGATAGGACGGAAATATTTTCAAATCAAATAAAAAATAGGGTTCCATATCCTCAGGGTATAAACGGGACCTTATTACTAAGAAATAGATAAAAAATGCTAAATATTCAACTGATAAATATTCTTAATGAAAAATGCTTAAGAAATGTTGCTTTATTACAGGATAGCAAACACGCTGCGTCACTGACACTAGCCGAGCAGTATGTTTCTGCATTTAACAAGCTTGCTAGGACAAACAACACATTGATCTTGCCTGCAAATGCGGGCGATGTGTCCAATATTGTTGCTCAGGTAATGTTCTGATATTCATTCTATTTCTTTATGCAATTTTAAAAAATAAATAAGCAAACAACTCTTTTCTTCCACTCAAAAATTATAAAGAGTTATAATGAACACACTTAATATAGACAGAGAGGTTGTGACAAACCACGCGTCAACATGGTACAGCATTTTAACGATGTTATGGCGATATTTGATTTCGTTTGACTACTTCGACGTATATTTTGGTGGATAATTTTGAGATAAAAGATTAAAGTTGATCAAACTGCCGGTAAATCCTTACCCAATCATTATTCTCTTACATTCGTTCGTCATTGATTTTGATTTAATTTTTTACTTTGACATATACTTTATGTCAAAGTAATAAAATTAAATGAACTTAACATTGCTAAGATGTCGTATCCTATGGCTAGTTAGGCGGTCGCGCTCCAGGTGTTTCAGTACCTGACCTCCACACTGGGTACCGAGTGATGTATACTAGTACTTCAACATACTGAAATATCAAAACTTTATAAAACTTGCACATTTTTATCATGAGCTGTTGTACTATATAAATTATATCACAACATTAAAGTTGTAAATTAATACCATGATATCGAATTACACTTGTCGGTCTTATTTTTACTATTAAATTACTTTACCGGCCGTGACCTATTCGACTTCCCTTTATCTCTCGAGGTTACTGTTCTTTCATTTGAATGACCCTGAGATAATATTATTGTAATTATTTTTTCAGGCTATGTCAATATATTCAACTGTGACCGCGCACAACGCCCAGTCCATACAAAGTCAGTCAACTGACACAGAAGTAGATTATGATGATCCTCTAGTCAAATTAAACGCGCTAACAGAAAGAGGATCAACAATGGCAGGTCAAGCTATGCCCAAAGAAGACGACAGTCTCTCGGAATATTTTTCAGATGATGAAGAAAGAGAAAAAGCACTGCAAGCGCAAAAGGAGAAGAAAGATCAGCATTTACAAAAGCTCGATAGGGATACGTAGAAATGTTAAGTAGTGCATATTTATTGTTAAATAAAATTACTTGAAAATATATCGCCATATTTTATTGCTGTATTCTGTCAATAAAACTAATATTCAATATAGAACTTGTATGTGAAATGAATATATGATTTACTAAATTTACGTTGTTGAAGTAAAACAATTCTTCCTCTAGTCTTTCTTTAGAATATCAGATATTACGATAAAACGAACAAATATGTTAGCCCTATTCTTACACAATGATCTGTGTTTGTTCCCATGAATTTTAAATAATAAATATAAAGAGTATCCTTTTATAAACATTGCTATAATCGACCTACTAACACAATCTATAGCTCATCTTAGCTGATGAGCACGTCTGGATAGTTACAGCAATCTAGAAGGATACTAGAGATGCCAGTCAGGGGTGACACGCTTAAGTAGTTAAATATTATTATAATAATGATTACAGTGATGTTGTATAAATATTTTTTTAGGGTTCCGTAGGAAAAAAACGGAACCCTTATATCACTTTTTGTGTGTGTCAAAAACTTTTATAACATTGTCGCCTTGACATTAAAATAGTCTCAAGACACTTAAAAGTATCAAGATTTATTAGGGTACATTCCGTTCTCTTAGAACTATGACATTTCACAAGTAGCATCGTTATAAAGGACAAGTTCAAGGAAAAATCTGATAACTGTAACAATATAATCTCATAGTAAGTAGACTTTTTTGTTAAACATTGGCATAATATTATATTGGAATTGGATGGAGCGAGTCACTCTTAAATTCCAATATTTTGCAATCCAATTGGATAATATTGGAATGTTAAGAGTGACTCACTCTTGGCCAGTTTTGTTACTACCAAAGCAAATACGAAATAGATTTTAAAAGGTGTGATGCTTCTGAGGCAGTAAATATCTAGTAAATCTTCGAAGGCTTTTTTACAAAGATTAGTAAAAACATTATGCTACTTATTTTTCGACTTCTTTCTGGACAGATGTTAGGAAGACTGAATTTTCATATACTTACATAATATACAGATATTAAATATCAATGATTTTTATTTAAATATAATCTAAATGAGCAGACTAGCATAACTACACATCATATTTAATAGACATGAGCTAAAATTAGATTCACTTTCTATTATTAAACCTTGTCCAAATTAAATTCATACACCAAATACCATGAAAGAATAATGAAAAGTGTTTTGGCAACTGTTCGATAAAATAACAAATACAATGAATCATTTCATGAACATGTGTCATATATTATAACTGTTTTCTTAATGCTCATAACCCGAATAATCAAAGTTCAGACAGCGACTCGGCTTTAGTTTATGATGTATACAAAATTTTCGGTTTAAGTATGTATTCAATCAAATCTATATTCAGCCCATCTCTAATATTTATGTTGTTTGATCAATATAAAAACTATCCTACAGCTTTAAAACGAATACATATATGTCTTTCAACTATTCTTATAAAAATAATGTTAACAGTAAATAGGCCACTTAGGTAATTGTAACAAATTTTTCAGGCTGGTTAAAATAGCTGACAGTTGCCTCTTCTGGTTGATTTGTATGTGAAATAGGAAGTTTATGTAGATTGAGAAATGAAGGTGTCAGATCTGTTCCATCGAATTGACGCAAATGTATCTATGGAAGTAAGAAAGAAATGTTAATAATGAATTATTTTTAGTAGAAAAAATAAACAAGAAGCTCAATTGTGCAGTGGTAAGCGCAAAGAATATAAATGTGCATGGTAAAGATGAACTTCTAATCAATTTAAAAAATATATCTTAATCGAAAATTCCTAATAATTTGTTGCATCAAATTATATAATAATTTAAAAGAAGTTTGATTTTTTGACATCTTTCTTATTATATTTATTTTATTTGAAGTTTTTTATATTAAATAATTCATAATACCTCTACAAGGTGAACAAAATTAATGTCTAGGTTTTATAAAAACTTACAAAAAATTATACTTACTAATAAATGTAAATTGACTTCATCACTTCTACTCAGATATGGAAAATTGCCACCACTTTTTAAATGAGCCAGCTTTGCCTGCGGATAGGATTTGTACATATCTTCTCGCACTTGTGCACTTAGAGCATTTTCATCCCAAACATCCATTACAGTTACAGGAATGTCTTTGAGTAGGTGTGGTTTAACATAATGTGGGGAACAATTCAAGGTCAATCTAGATGCCAACTCTGACTGATTCAGTGATTCTAACTGAAATATTACATTATTAAAAGTTTTTGATTTTGAACACATCATAAGGCTTATATTTATAATACAACATTTTGTAGACACAGATACAACAGCCTTACAACATTTTGTATAATCTAATTTAGTGTTTATCTATCTTGGTTTGAAAACTTTAATTCTTCACAATACAATAAGTTAGATACGTTAATAAAAGCAGTTGTTTGTTCAAGTGTTTGGTAAATTTGGGTAATAAATATGTTGTTATGAAACTGATCAAAGAATCTTACCCTTTCTACCATAAAGTCTATAGATTCTGCTATTCTTCTGTCAACTTTGTCAGTTGTAAAATTTCCCATAAGCATTCTTTTCAACACCAGTGATGGTAAAAGCCAAAATAACGCTGATGAGTCATTGTATTCAAATACAGATGTGTCTGTAAAACTATTGCAAAGAACTAGTGATGCTACTCTAGGACAGTTTTTTGTATATTCTGCAAAAATCTGTGCTATAAAACCACCTAAAAATAAGTTGATAATAAGTAATTAAAATATAATTTAAGGGAGAGAAATATATTTCTATATTTTTTTTTATAATAGCTTACCAAGGGAAGCTCCAAATATGTGAACTTTATCCAATTCTAGATAATCTAAGAGGCGTTTGAACCCATCACACCACTCTTTTAAGTTCCAGTATGGAGGTGGTTCTGCAGCTATCACACGAATACCTCTAGTAGCTAAACCCATAACTTGTTTAAAAAATATATCTGCAGTCCCAGACACTGGTGGTAAACATATTAATGGACAAGCGACAGATTTTGGGCCACAGTCAAATATCTTCCAGGCCTGCAAATAGTTTTAATTGTACATACTTTCAGAAAATAAAAATTATATATTTTTTTTTATTAACTTAAAAATAAATTAGTACTTTTAAATTGATAGACATATTTATAACTTGGGCGGGCGAGTCACCTTTGAAATTTTATGAAAAACAATATCTTTTACCTACCTTCGAACTATCAGAATCCACAACAATTTTTCGAAGAGGAATACTACTTCGAAAACTTAAATATTCATTAGATTGAGATAAATCGCTCACGCAGCTCATATCTAATACCGTAAAAGTAAATAATAGTTTAGCACACAACTTAATAGTATGGTATTTTAGTTTTCTTTGGGTATTTTTATTAATTTAAGTATTAAACGTCTCGGGTGGGTAATGTTTGTTTGGAATGAAAATAAATTAGAATGAATAATGTCAAAGTCAAACACAATGTCAAACGTGGCTATTGTTTTTGAACATATTTTTTTTAACAACAACTACAACATAGCTTTTTTAATGGCGAAGGATTTAAAAAATAAAAATTAGTTTTTGAAATCATACTAGATGTCACTAGAGATGTTTGGATAATTGGCTATGATATTTATTTTGATTCAAAGTTTTTGACATAATAAAACTAAATTGAGTATCGAAAATTAATAAATATGATATCGTTTAGTGTTTCTTATATTATCTAACTTTCAAAACAATTTTAATCTATTCGAATCGTAAGTTGAAGTTAGTTATTATGTTACGTGTAAAGTAGCGATGTTTGGTTTATATTACCAACATTAGTGATGAGCCGATTTATTGGTTGCTCGTAACTTCAATTGACTCGATTCATCCAATTTCAGGTTTGGAATCAAGAACAAAAAGCGGAGCGCTGATTTCAGCTTGTTTTTTATGTGCCATATTTCCATATGTGTCGTTATGCATCCATACGTCGTATTATATTTATGTTTAGATATATTAAAATAAATATCAAATCTTGTGAAAGTTGAAAACTTTGGAAATGGTTTGCAAAACTAAGGCGGGAGATCTTGTACTGAGAAGAACCGGCAAGAAACTCAGCAAGGGCTGCTTTTTTCTCCCTGTTTTATTTTACACAGAGAAGTCTTATTGAAATGTGATATCTAAGTTTCGAACTTTTCAAATTTCAGTTTTTAATATGTTAGTTAATAGGAACGGAAATGACTGTCTTTGGTCCATTCGTTTCCTGCAAATATCAACTTTTGCTAGAGTCACCATCTAGTGGAGGTGCTTTTTTAGTGCTTTCTTTTTTTTAATACTTCCTCATTGACATTATGATGTTAAGATCTAAGCGTTCCGAAGGGAAACCAGAATACAGTTTGTGCGGCCATCAAATGACATACAGTTTTGTAGATTCCAGTAGTTTCTTTATTTTTTAAAACTTCCTCATTGCGATAATAAATTCTCGCGAAATAAAATCGCGATGCGCAGTATGGCATTATTTTTCCACATAAAAAATAAATTAAACATACGTTGATAGAATAATAAAATGTCTATTTTAATATCACTACCATTAATGCTCATTTTACAATTTTATCTAATCTTACTTTATCAAGTATATAAAACTTATAATAAATAAAATAGCCTAATGAAGGAAATCATTATTATATTTTCATTGAAGTCAACAACTTTAAAGGCCTTGTTTGGGTTGCTTGGTTACATCACTGTTGACGTTCGAGTTCATTTGTAACATAGACATAAAAGAAGATTTGTAAACCAAAGAGTAATGTAATTAATGATGTGCCGATTCGATTATTATACACATCGAACAATCGATTACTGTATTACTTGCAATCGATTAATAATTGATTTATGTCAACGATTATTAAATATTTTTACCCCAAGAGTTTATTAATGATTTCAGATTAATTCCAACGTATTCGAAAGTCATCCAAGTTAATAGTTAAAAATAAATTTAAAGAAAATGCTTACTATACCAGCATTGTGCATGCAAATATAAAATAGTATAATTTATAGAATTAAACTAGCTGTACCCGCGATTTCGTCTGCGTGGAAAGTAGCCTCAGTAATTCCTTATTACATAAACTATCTGCCAGTGAAAGTTCCGTAAAAAATTGGTCTAACCGTTTCAGAGTTTAACTGAAACAAACAGACAGACAATAAAAATATTATTTTGGTATAGGTATGTACCGTGTATATTTACATGTGCATTTAGTAAGAAACGGTTAATTTGTACTTGTTAAAATAAAACTGTAAGAACCGTCCGTTCATTCATCTGGAGTTCCCCGACCAAAGAATAAAGTTACCTATTTGTTCGTGGGAGTTGCCATAGGGATTCCAGGGCATAATAAGTATTACAATATCTACTAATAATATTCACACTCGCGATCGCGATAGCTATGGGTTGCTGAGTCATCGAAGTAAAGTAAGTAGGTACTATACAAACGTTTAGTACCTACTAACGTTTAAAGAAGTAATTGATGATTAATCGTCGATTAGTAAATAATAATCGATAGCAACTCATTATTTGAAAAATCAATTAAACAATTAATGGTAATCGATTCCGCACATCATTAAATGTATTATAAAAGTGATAGTGCCCCCCCCCCCCCTGCTACATGTAAATGTAACGAATTTCATGATATATAAAATACTTAGAAAATAAGTTTTTTTGGAGGTAGGTATACATAAGACAAGTAGAAAAGAAAGTTCTTTTTGGAGGTTGCTTTAAATCATTATTTTGGAAAACTTGATCTTTTTCTTTTACTTTTTGTTCCTGAGAACTAACTAGATAAATATTTAGCTAACACATAAAATATAGTGTGATCACGTCGTACAGTTTTCAAACTTAGTCTCAGAAAGTAATTTTAAGGATATGGACAACTCTCAAAGTACCGACGTATTTTCCGACTTGACACTTACAAACCAATCCTGCACTATAACAGCTTCAGCTTCAAACGCTGTAAGTATCATTTTTGCAACCTTAAAAACTCTTACTAAGTCCGTCTGTATATCTGTCTGTCAAGGTCTGCCATGTCTGTATATCATGAACCTTGACAGTTCACAGCAATGATAATTGGTTGAGAATATACCAACAAACAACAAGCAGTTAATAAAATACTAAAGTACGACACAAACTTAGCGAAACACTGGATTCCGGCAAAATCCACAAGTTAATTAAATATTAACAACCATTAATTAAATAGAAGAAGAAGAACAAATACATATATTATAGACAGCTTTTATAGAACAAACATAATTTTTCGAGTAGCTCAGTGGCGTAGTGGAAAATCGCGCGGCCCGCGATTTTTGTTGTTAAGCAACGTTCGGTCATTGGGTGACAAAAAAAAAATATTATCTCGAGCTACTCCGTGCTTCGGAAGGAACGTTTAGTTGTTGGTCCCGGCTGCATTTGCAGTTGTTAATACCCTACAATCCGCATTGGGCCAGCGTAGAGGGTCATAGCCCATCCTCCTTAACCATCCATATGAAAGGCCTGAGCCCCAGCAGTAGGGACGTAAAAGGGCTGATGCTGATAATTTTTTAGTTTTTTTTATGGATACGACAGAAACTATTATGCGTGAGTCCAACTCGCATGGCCAGTTGATTTACTTACATCTATCATAATTCTTCATACACACACATTCACTGAAATTTGTGTTGTGATGTACTTGTTGTATATAATCAAAGCTTATATGCTTACATAAATTTTTATTCATGTTTATATAATATTCTCTTATTAAGATTTTCTTACCTGTAAATACATTTTTATGTCACTAACAGATGGATATGGATACATATGAAGCATTGATCAATAGGACTAAAGCATCTCTCTGTAATGATATATCTGCATTTTTCAACACATCTTTACCAGATAACTTCACATTGTTGCTTAAGGATTGTCATTATTGTATATCACAGGTGAGATAACTTTATATTATAGGGTGTAGTGTTGTAGAAATATTTATAATAATGACATTCCATATTGATTTTAAACCTTGATTTTAAACATTTGGTAATAATCTGACTTATATACCCTTCACAACAGTTCTAAGTCTCAGTATTTGAATGTCGCATTAATAGCTCAATCCTAAATTAAGTACATATTTCAGCCCTCATGTCATGGAACTCTAAAACTGTAAAGGTAGATAGATACATTTACACTTATATTATAAAGAGGAAAACTTTGTTTATATGTTTGTTGGTTTGTAATGAAGGCTCAAAAACGACTGAACCGATTTTAGAAAATTCTTTCACCATTCAAAAGCTACATTATCTATGAGTGACATAGGCTATATTTTATTTTGAAAAGAAAAGGTTACCGTAAGATATTTGGGTGTTTCGGAAACAAGATGTAAAAAATCAACCAGAAGTTACTTATTTTGTGTACTCTGCCTAAACTATAAAACATAGAACCATAAAATGTTCTAATTAATTGTAGATCTTATAAATATCTACAAAAAAGTCCGCGACACACTATACCTAATATTAGAAATTAAAATATTATGATTTCTGCTGCACGGCGCGGTGCGTGAGGGGAGTAAAGGTACCAGCGGGCGAAGCCGCTGGCGGAAAGCATTTTCTACATCCACCTTAATTAATGAGTAATTGTTATATTTGACCAATTTTGCATTGACAATGCTATACTAAAAAAAATCTCAATGAAAAATGTTAAAAAAAACTACTTTAATAAAGTTTAAATATATCTAAAAATATTTCTTTCGGCTGTTTGGGTGGATTGCCTGAACATAGATGAAAATATGCCCTGTTGCAGCAAAAAAGTAACAAGTAACTTGAAAAAAAAAAAATCTTCAGTTCTGTTAGGTCATGGGTAGCTCAGTGGTTATAGTAGTCGCCCGGATTGCGAAAGGCCATGGGTTTTACCAATCTCCGATTGCCACAGACAAAGTTGATTGTTTAAGAATTTTTCATTATTTTATTTTTTTAAATAACGCCTTTAAACTTGAAAGAGGTTCATTCTAAAAGTTCAAATTGGTTCTTAGGGTCTACAAATATCTAACGGAAGATACATTGTGAACAACTCACAAATTATATTACGACCTTCAACCATGTTAACTCGACGAATTATTAATAGTTTAATTTTACTAATTAAACTAAAATATAAAAATAATTTACAGGCACTTAAACTATTAGTTGAAATATCAGAATCACATTCATCGACACAGAAACTATTACATTATATAGAAGATGCAGTTAACATTCTGAATTTGCTATGTAGTTTTATAAAGAGAATAATAGAAAATTTTGCAATGAGTTGCAGTACAATGAAGACATTCCCAACTACGACTGGTCAAATTATTATGGATATATTTATACACTGCAGAAACAGGTACATATTTTATCGGTTTTCTTTATATTTTTAAGCGCACTATCCATTAAATGAAACAACTTTAAACTGTTTCATCACTTTTGTGTTTTTTTTATGACGTTTCGAACCTTTTACAGATACCGTCTTACGTGAACACCGATCACAGGCAAAAACGCCTGGGCCGATTAAAAAATAGTCTTTGACTAATATAATACGTGACCAACATTATCAGAGTTAAAATACTTTATTTTGTAAAAGTAGTGGTAGGAAGTTCGCATGTCAAGTCGATTGATTAATAACTTGAAATTTAGTAGGTAGTCGTAATTATATTGTAGTAGGTAGGTATATACTCACGGCTAAAGAAAATATTATGACGGATGTCACTAGCAATCTAAATGTGAGCAATGGAATCTTGTTTTATTTATGTATAACACCGATTAAACGATTGATTCGCAAGTGAAAACTCACGGTTAATTTGCAATAAACAATACCCAAATCGCAGTAACTAATCAAGAGTAACTACGAGACTTCACAATTACAATGTCGATTGGTCGTGATTGCGTTCGAGAGTAAGGGAAGCAAGTATGTAAAATAAAAATTAAACAAACGTATTTATGTACTTGTTTATTGATCATCATTATACAATAATGGAGCATATTTAAATACCATATAACCATAGCATATTTTAATCTTATTAGAAATAAACGAAGCCTATTCTTTGGGATTAGTGACGAACGTTAACTTGGCCGATCGTTGGTTAAGTCTGTACGCGTCATATTAAGATGCGCCACCCGGCCGATTGCATTAATTTGTCTCGTATCATTTACTATTAAATAGCGTTCATATCTTAAAAACCGAAACCGAAGGAAGTCTTATCTTAAAGTCATCTTATAATATAAAAATGAATCGCAAAATGTGTTGGTAAGCGCATAACTCAACAACGCCTGGACCAATTTGGCCAATTCTTTTTTTTAAATGTTCGTTGAAGTTCAAGGATGGTTTTTACGGCGAGAAAAATTTGAATATATGCCGAAAAAACCGTAAAAACAGCCATTTTCTTTTTCTCATACAAACGTTTTCTAACTAAATCGTTGAGTCAATTTGAGCTCTATTACTATTGTATAAAGTTCATATTAAATTACAAGCACTCACTGTTATCTAAGCAATGTAGGTGTGTTCCTAACGTCAAAGAGTCAATTTGCACTTTATTTCCGCTATACAAAGTTGAAATTCAATCATATCAATACAGTGTGCGTGTGTGCGTTGGAGCACAGAATACATCGTTGGAGGATTTAATGCCGCGTTCCGAAACTCAATTAAAGTAAATCATTAGTACTGATTTTCAATTTGGTCGGCTTTGCGATATTATTTCTTTTGTTTTACTTTCAGCACGCGACATAAAATGCATCAGTTTTCACGTCATGACATCAGTCAAACACAAACCGCGTTACCAAGTGTTTTATTATTTATTATTTTACACACATAAAAAATTGGTACGGCCTGAAGGATTTCACTCCAAGTCATATCAAATTTAAAAAAAGTTGAAAATTGAAACAACAACAAACTGTCGATGTTTAGTTAGTTTAAAAAAAAAACTAAAAAAAAAATGTCGATGTCAATTTGCCGGTGTGGAAGTATTATTTTCTTGGATTTTCTGTTACTTATTCTACTGAGTTTGCTTTTGTCAACTGATACTGTCTAATACACGAAACAAATTCGTATATCGTGTTTTGTGCAGAGTGTTTAGTTACCTATGATCACTATTTATTATAATAATAATATTGCATGTGACACAATAATTTATATTTGATATGCCTCCTATTTTTTGCCCCGACTATAAAATAAGTAGGAACAAAAAACTGCCACATTACAAATCTTTTTGACAGGACGAAGTCTGTCGGGTCCGCTAGTATTTAATAAATGCTTTTAGTTGTTTTTGTTTACTGAATTATTAAAGTTAAACGAAATTTACAACATGTCGAATTGATACAAACAATGCTATTTCGAAAAGAAATACAAACCAAAATGTTTGATAAAATATATAAATAAAAGTAATTTTTTTTTTAAAAGAATATAAACAGATTCATAAGAAATATCGATAAAGCGTAGGTTATAGCTACGACTACGTCCATGAGTTAGGCGGTCGCGCCCCTGATCGCCTTATCGAGTCTAGATTTGTCAGTTTAGCAATTTTTTTAATACGGTTAATTACAAACGCCGCATAATTTTTAAAAAGTATCTATATAAAATATAATTAAAGAGAAGATTTTTGATCAATAAAAGCAGAGTGCTTAATTTGCGTAATTTTAGGCGACTTCTGCCCATTCTCTTTTCTGCCTCAGTTGGAGAAATAGTAGACAAGTAGCCATACGACGCTACAGTAGCATAAGTAGTAAAATGGTTCTTAATGAAACTATTTTAATATCACTTTATTTATATGTTCTCCTTCTAGTAACTGAATCTACACATTCTACCACTTGACCCCTCCACCGCTAGATGCCCCCTGAAATTGATGTGAATATAAAATGATCTCTATAGCAGAGTGGTTCGTATGCAGGGTTCAAGGTGTCGCCATCCCTGTGTTCCCAGGTTACTCCATAGTATCTTGGAAATGTGATGTTGTCTTATATTTTTTTTTTAAATATTATTTTTCAGTGAGACAATATACAGTATTCATTTAACTAGTATACAGCAAGAACTGAAAGATCTTTTCCGGAGTTGTCATGAGTTGCAGCTTACTTACTTGATGGTACTGGAGAAACATTTCATATTTGATTTAACTCAAAAAGAAGAGCTTGATATACTTGTTAAAGGTATTTCAACATTTAAGATAAAATAAAAGACCTTTATTGCATGAAGAAGAACAAAAGAATAAAAATAAAACTGTTTTTGGACACGGTAGATACTGACCTTAACATTTCATCAGCGATTGCTATTGTACAAACTATATCAAATCTCATAACTATTCTTGAACAGGCCAAAAAGAAATTTTTGTGAAGCTCATATTTTTTTAACTGTTCCATATTATGATATTGGCGCCCCTCTGACACGGGCGCCCGGGGCAAATGTGCCCACTTGCCCCTCTCCTAGATCTGGCCCTGCTCTTGAGGATGTTCCTTGGAGGGGTGAAACACGTATTAGAGATGTTGTTCCGAGATTCGTTGCCATTTGTAAATGTGAACTTGTGTGTGGGCAGTACACATCAGTAGGGCAATTCAGCTAATGTTTATCTTATAATCTCATTTCAATATAATCTCAACTACTTGTATTTTACCATTGTAGTATCTGCCTGAAGTTCAATATTATATATATCTGTCACATTTGGTTTGTGAGGAAGACATAACATTTCTAATGTTGTCTACTTCAGGCATATAGTACGACGATATAAACTTGCAAGTAGCTGAGATTCTATTAAGATGCTATTATTACGTAAACATTAGCTGAATTGGCCTACAAATTTTGCCTGACTAAATTTGTACAATGTATTGATGCCGTATAGGCGATTTTACTGAAGTTTTTATAGTTACTTGAATAGTATTTAGTAGTTGTTGAGTTATTCAAGTACACAGTTAAGTAAGATAAAGTGGTTCTTAATTACTCGTACGGCAGTTACACACGGCTGCTGAATTTGCAGTCTCTATTGATGATATAATAATTTAATAGAGTAGTAAATTATTAGAATGATTGTTAATATGACCTTTACATTTCACGAGTTCCCAACCTCAATAATTATGTTAACAAAGTAAAACTTTGTTTTACTTTGTTAACATAATACATAATAACAAAATACTATGGTTGTAAAAATGAATATTATGGTTGTAATAATATTTTTCAGCATTAAATATCAACCTGCATATTGGTGAGGTGGTCCAAACCCTAGATGTGAAGACATTGGCAGAACAATGGAAAGCGTACACTATGATCTGTGAGAAGTATGCCAGTCATTTGGTGGATACCAACATTTGTTGTGAATGTATAAAACTTCTGTGTTCGATGGTGTTGAATAATATGAATACTTCTTTAGAGGTTTGTAGAGTAATAGACGATTAATAATCTTTTTATTTTGTGGTTCAATACAAATCTTATTCAATAGCCAATTACAAATCTTATTATATGGACAGTTAAGTCGAAAATAGATTGCAGAAATCAGCCATTTTGTTGTACCGCTGTGTGTTACTTTGTTTACGAACATATATAAATAATTATATTAGAACGGATATTAGAACAATAAAAAAATATTTAAAATTTCAGGTAGAGCAAGAGGAGAAGCTTATAGTTAGGTCAATGAAGGTGGCATACTTTACCATAAAGATTCTGATGAGAATATGTAATATATTTGAACAGTCATCCACAAAACAATATAAATGTATTGTAGATATGTTAATTAATGTGTATTTGTAAGTATAGTATTTAGTATATGCTTAAAAACAGCGCTGGCTCAATGAAACTTGACGTCCTAGGCCAAACTGTGGCAAAATACTGGAACAACGCCCTTCAAAAGATCACACCAAAATAAAAGATTAATGTAGATACCAAATAAAGATTGTAATTTTGCCAATGACAAAAGAAATTCCTTAGGTACTGCTGCTCTAAAAATTTGCACTTTTGCTTAAGCTTATTGTGATGTGTTTTAGATATAATCCAGCATACTTAGAAACTGTTGGTGAGAAAACGGAACAGTTTATTGATACTATATCTAACAATGTTTTGAGTCCCGTGAATCTTCTAGTGAATAATTTATTAAATGATGAAAGTTTTGTTAATGTAAGTAACATTAATTGTAACAAAATTAACTAAATATTTTTTAATTATATTTCAATCTATAAATATTAAAAAAACTAAGTCTTTTAAAGTACACATCGGATTTTAATGTGTTTCATCAATATACAGAATGATTTAAGAGGAAGGTTTTTTATGTAACTCGTTTTTATACCGGTTTCGCCCGCCTGGCCAATATAAATTCCACCCCCTTAGGGGTTGAATTTCTAAAAATCCTTTCTTAGTGTTCACTCGCATTGCATTATGAAAGGAACCCCTGTACCAAATTTTAAGTTTTTAAGTACAGTAGTTGCGGCTATGTGTTCATATAAAAATCAATTGGATTTGCGTTTTATATATATAGAAACGGCTGTTCGTGCGAAACCGCTGGCGAAAAGCTAGTATTAACATAAATACCATAAGTACCATATACTTGATCGGGAACTCGATAAATATTAGGTACACACGGCTGCAAGTCAGTTCGCTACCACTACAACTATGAACCTTAGAGTTCACGTCGTTAACACAATATGAACTTTAAAGTTTTGTGGGTAGAGTTTAAAATCAACTGGAGAAATTTATTAGATTTGTATTACTTGACGTGTTGTTGACTGTACATGGTAGCAATACCGTAATCTATATATATAAAAATGAATCGCAAAATGTGTTGGTAAGCGCATAACTCAACAACGCCTCGACCAATTTGGCCAAATCTTTTTTTAAAATGTTCGTTGAAGTTCAAGGATGGTTTTTACGGAAAATTATTGCTGGAAAAACCCTAAAAATAGCCCTTTTCTTTTTCCCATACAAATGATTTGTAACTAAAACGTAGTCAATTTGAGCTTTATTGCTATGGTATAAAGTTCATATTAAATTACAAGCACTCACTGTTGTCTAAGCAATGTAGGTGTGTTCCTAACGTCAAAGATCATATCTATCACAAAACAATGTGCGTGTGTGCGTTGGAGCACAGAATACATAGTTGGAGGAGTTTAATGTCGCGTTCCGAAACTCGCGTTTCTTTTGTATTAGTTTCGGCACGCGAGATAAAATGCATCAATTTCCACGTCATTACATGTATTGCCGGAACATTGATGAAAATACGCTCTGTAGTAGCAAAGCTGTTGGGTCCTAGATAGCTCATTGGTTAGAGCAGTCCCTGGATCGCGAATGGGTTCGAGTCCCATTCCGGGGTACAGGTAGATGGATTCTTCCAGCATTTTTCCTTGAGAATGTTTATATATTTTTTTAATTCGAATAGTTTACTTTTATAATGCTGTTGTGTGTAATGTGTTTTTATGATCATAACAATCTCTTTTTTCTATATTTAATACTATTACTATTAATACATTGCAATAATAATTATGATTCACATGATTAACAATAAAGCGATTACTTACTTTTAAATCCTTATATATGTTTTATTTAATAATTTTTTATTCACAACGCCCTATCACCAGGGTGACGGTTCTGTTCAGGAGAATTTTTTTAAATACGTAGGCAAAAAAACTGCCACATTACAAATCTTTTTGACAGGACGAAGTCTGTCGGGTCAGCTAGTTAACAATAATTTTAATGCTAATAACCATGAAAGTGTATAACAATACATTTCTTATTATTTACAGGTTATAATAAATTACAACATGGGTGAACTGACAAATAATAAAGAAATATTAGGCTATATTTATCTTATTATAACAGTGATGAATTCAGCTTTGGAGAAACATATTACCATACCAAGAAGTAAACTTCTTAATCGGTTATTCGAAATCTTACCCAACTGTGAGTGTTTCTAACTTTGTTTGTTTGTAGGAGGTAAACTTAGGTAATACCTACTGGTCTGATCATGAAAATTCTTTCACCTACGTTAAGCTATATTATACGCGGGTGATTGTTGTTTTTTTTTATATTAATATTTATACAGAATCTGATGTCGCCTATTTTAACATCAATCAGATTATTTTTGAAGAACATTAATGACGATGTATCAAACCGGAACTTCCAACTTTCCGAAAATCACCAATAAGAATTACTACTGAATTCCCTAAAACAGGGTTGAGTGAAGAATTTCAAAGTCAAGTCCGGCCATACAGGGCCGGTTCTAGAGGCAATCAAGTGGGGGCAACTATATAATAATAATTAATTTATTCAGCAACCACACAATGTACATAATAATAAATAGAATGAATAAATACAAAATAACAAAAAGTGTACCTAAAAAGGTATCCATTCAGCATAGTGCTGAGATAATGTAATATGGTTACAAAAAAGAAAGAGTTTCAGAAGTGTTATTTAAAGTTTATACACGTTATGGGCTACGATAGGACAGTTACTTTTTCAAAGTACCAAAATAAAATAAAATATTCATAAACAGTAGCAATATGTAATTTTTGGACTATAGCTTGGAAATTTGTGGCATTAGTGTTTCATTTACATTAGTCGTAAGTGTCACCAGTATGGCGATGCCACCTGATTTATTTAATTTCTTATGTTTAATCTAGTAATTATACTTCTTATTATATTTCATCAATTTTGCATTCACTTGTAGTAGCGAAAAAGTAATAAGTGTTTGAAAAATTTCATCTCAGATCGCCAAGGACAAAGTGGATTTTTAGGCATTTTTAATTAAGAATTATACTTCTATTAAATATTGTCTTGTTTTCTTCTTCTTTTATTAATGGCTTATATCCGCATGTCGCACTCAATTCTGCCAATGTCGAGTGAATAAGTAAATTTCTATATGTAAAATGAAAATTAAATGAATTTCATTCATGGCGATGATCTCAATTCTATTGTCTTGTCATTTCAGGCTATGTTTGGATTAATATTGGAATGAAATTTAATATTGATGCTATCAGGAGTCGTACGACTTTTCAATCAGCTGGGTCAGTTGGACTTTTCGATTATTTATTGATCCTTGCCACCGATCTGTCGCTTCAGATGAACAACGAGGAATATTGCGCTTTAGAAACAAATATAACCGAAGCTTTACTGGGAGTTGACACAGTCAGAGCACTTTTTGCGTCTAATTTATGGACTTTGTTATTTACGTAAGTGTAATAATATGTTTGTTGAATGTGTGTATGGAGGAATGAAATAAAGATAAAATATGAAGTATACGGATACAAACGAGTGCTGATTAATGAGCGAATGAGAGAGACAAAGAATGTCCTTCTGTTGCGGAGCTGAGCTTTTTTATCCCAATTATTTATATGCTGTTGAGTTTTTATTAACGTAAAAAGATTAACGTATTAAGAGATAAAGTGTTTCAGTTTTTGATAAATCAGGGATATACATACATGTACAAAGTTAATGGTACCATTATATGGGTACAACAATGATATAGATTTTATATAAATTTACACTCATGCTTCGCGTGCAGATGTTTAAAAGCTAAGAATATAATTTACTAGCTTTCCGCATGTGGCTTCGCTCGTATGATCCTTAGGGAACTGTTTATTTGAATATCGATCATGACACGGGTATAATTACAATAACAAATTATATAGCAAACAATGGTTACTATGGTAACATTTTCATTTCCTATTTTCATCACTTTATTTTCTGTTTCTCGGGATGAAATATAACCTATTTTCATTGCATATGATGAACTTTCGGTAGATGAAAGAATTTTTAAAATCGAACCTGTTGTGTCGGAGCCTATTCGTTGCATGTTTGTTTGCAACAATTAAATATCAAAATTTCCGTCTTCATAATATTAGTATAGATGACGCACACTAGAAACGTTTTGTCTACACACAAATGTCAATTTTCTCGGGTGCGCCCATAATATAACTCATTCTCGACCTGAGAAATATGACATTTGGGTGTATATGAAACGTTTCTTGAGTTTGTCAAGCTACGTATGCTGAAATGGGCGTCTGTTGGAACCAATATTATAACATCTTCTAAAGATACTTTTACGGGTATAACAAATAGTTTTTTTTTTATGCAGAACAATATTGAATTTGACAATTGAAACTCACTTTAAAAATGTATCGGGGAAATAAGGCTCGTCAACAGTATACATATAACAACAATGTTTTAACTTTATAAATAGCAAAGGGATTCATCCCATACAACTTTGTTTTAGGTAAATATTTCTTCTATTTTCATTTAAATGTTGACTTTATCAATACATTTCAGGATTATTGATAACAAACAACTGTTACTCAGTCAATTGTCGTTTCTCTGTCAAACATATCAGAGGTTGGAAAAGATTACACTGTTCTCAAACTCTCCTCAAAGAGTACATCTAGAGAATACAATCACAAGTCTGTTCGAAAATGTGGATGATGAAAACAGAATAAAAATATACAAGCACTTTAATCCATTGTACAATCAGAATAATATATCGTTATGGAATATCCTGAAGATCAGAAATCTTCCTACAGATTTTCAGAGAGTAATAGAATGGGACATTGTAAATAAATTTAAAAAGGAGTTTCGTAATATGGCTTTGGCATGTCAAAATGAGAAGTTTATCGTTTTGGTGAGTTTATTAATTAATTTTGATTTAATCTCTGTTGGATTACATTTTCATACTAAAGATTTGGTTAATTATATTTTAATTTATAAGTATTCATTCAGAGTGAAAACGTTTTATATTAGTTAAACGCACAGCATAATAAACAGCTAACAGA